CAGAATTAGATGCAACTCGAAACGAGCACCTAAAAAATGCTTCGATATTTAAAGGTACCTCCAAGGAAATACAGAACGATTTGTTACAGTGTATGCTTGAAGTCTGTCGTGAACAAATAATTGAGGAAATTAATAATTCTTCATTTCTGGCGATCATGGCGGACGAAACAACGGATGTTGCCGCAAAATATCAATTGGTACTAATTTTTAGATATATTCGCGATGGTGAGCCAATTGAACAGTTTTGGAGCTACTTAATTCCTGAAAGATGTGATGCAGAAACACTTAGTAAAACTATATTAACTGTTATAGATCCTTTAATTCAGAATTCACCTAACAAACTGATTGCACAAAGTTACGATGGAGCAGCGGTGATGAGCGGCCAAAATGCAGGCGTCCAAGCATTAATAAAAAAGTATCCTTTTGCTCACTATGTACTACACTGTTATGCCCATCAGTTGAATTTAATTATGTCTAAAGCTGCTTCTACAAATTCGCAAGTACGTGTATTTTTTGGAAATTTACAAGACATTCCTGGATTTTTTAATAATTCACCCCAACGAGAAGAAATATTGAACAAGATTGTGAACAGAAGGATCCCCCACGGCGCTTCAACCAGATGGAATTTTAATATACGCACCATTAATGTTGTGTATGAAAATAGAACCTCTCTCATTGAGTGTATGCATGAAATAGAAGATCAATTCTCCACCAACACAGTCTGTAGTGCAGCCGCCTCTATTCGGCGTACATTAAATGATCCAATCTTCAATTTTTGGCTGACTTTTTTTCATCATGTGATGCCTCACGTAGATATCCTATTTAATCAATTGCAACAAAGAAAAATCGAACCCACTCTAGTAAGACATGCTATTGATAATTTTGAAAGGAGTATGATTCAAGTTCGAAATAATATTGATAACATCATTAGTGAAGCATCAGATATAATAAGCGATGAGCCTCCAGAAAATAAACGCAAACGTCCATCTAACAGCAAATTTGATCACCGAATTTCAGCTTTAGAGGTGTGTGATATTATTATAAATTGTGCAAAAGATCGATTTCAGTTTAAAGAGCATTTAGTAGTTGCATCACTTTTCTTTTCGGACTACTTTGGAGAGTATTGCGGTAAATTCCCCGAGGATAAACTTACTTCCGTATGTTCTTTTTATCCCACAGTTGATAAAGAACGATTACGAACCGAACTGTCTGTTATTTATTCAAGAAATGATTGCAGGACATTAAATGGCGCATTACCTCTTCTAAAATTTTGAATAACAAACAATCTAGGAGGTACGTTGGAGGAGACTAAAAAACTATTAGAAATTGTGGTAACAACTCCCATGACGACATCAGAGGCTGAACGATGTTTTTCAACCCTAAATCGGATCAAGACCTTTATCAGAAATTCAATGATTGAAGATCGTCTAACAGCTCTCTCCATGCTATCCATTGAGAAAAAGTTTATCTCTAAAATAGACAATTTTAATGAAAAAGTGATTACAAAATTTGCAAGCAGAAAAGAGCGTAGGATAGACTTAATTTACAAAAAATAGGTAAGCTTTTTCTTATTTTGTTTTTTTTTACAAAAATTGCAGAACACCTTAAAATTTTTACCACGAGCCGCCACTGATGGCTTTTACGTTTTATAACCACTCATCATCAACATATAATTTAATTAAAAGATTTTTTATTTTGCCAAGTAAGCGATACTTACAACATATCTCGTCAAGTATGGATATATCTCCAAAAAATGATAGGAATGTACCTTTCGAATATAGCAATTAAATTAGCTCCAAGAGAAGAAATTGTAATTTTGATGATCGATGAAATTTATATAACATCTAGGCTGGACTATCACTCACAAAACATTGTTGGGTATGCCTCAAATAAAAATGACATGGCTAAAACTGTTTTAGCCTTCATGCTATCTTCAGCACTTGGAAACATAACAGAAATTATCAAATTACTACCAGTTTCAAATCTAACAGGTGATGAAATGACACCTTTGGTTGAACATGTGATAAATTTAGTTAAAAAATGTGGATTTGAAGTTATTTGTGTTGTTACTGATAATCACCGAATTAATAGAGCAATGTTCAGGAAATTAGCAAAGGATTCATCAGAAAATTATTCTATTCCAAATCCACATAATCCTGATAAGAACATATATTTAACTTATGATGTTGTGCATATTTTCAAGAGTATCAGAAATAATTGGATTAATTTAAAATACCTAGACAAAACTTTTGTATATCCTAATTTTGACAATAATGATATTATTCAGTATGCTAAATTTGAAAACATTCGTGCTGTATATCAATTGGAAAAAGAAGCTGTAGTTAAGAAAGCATATAAATTAAATTATAAAACATTGCATCCAAATTCATTTGAAAGGCAAAATGTAAATTTTGTAGATAATTTATTCCATCAACTCAACAATAGCTGCTATGAAAGAATTAAAGTTTAATGATGCTGCACACTTTTTGGAAATAATCAGGAATTGGTGGGATATTGTCAGTAATACAAGTGTAATAAAAGGAGAATTGAAGCGAAACGAATTTTGTAAGCCTATTACCAATAAATATGATTATAGAGTACAATTTTTAAAAAAATTCCTGATATGGTTAGAAAAATGGCATAATCTAGAGAATAATAATGGACACCTGACACCAGAAACGTATACAGCTCTATATCAAAGCACGCTGACTCTACTTAATACAGGGTGTCCTCAAAGTTGGGGTTTTCCTTTACACGACGTGTAGATCTTGAAAACAAGCAATGTCTTAAGGGAACCGAGATAAAGGGCTCTGCAACATCAAAAATATCTGAATACCGTCCTGTAGCCGCCACCCGCCGCGATGTCCCTGACTGGTACCGGCTACTAGCTGAACCCGACGACAGAACTGGGTCGGGGGTCGGGGTCAGTGTGTCAGGTCACTATGCAACCTTCAACCGACGGTAAAGGGTCACGCGTATAGAGGTAACGAACCCGTATAATCGATTGCGTTTCAAAAAAAAAATAATAATGGCACACTCATACACCAATAATGAACTCGTTGATATGTTGTTAATTTATGGCGAATGTTTTCAAAATGATACAGAATCGTCGCGAGTGTATGCAGATCGTTTCCCTAGACGACATCATCCAAGGCCCCCCAGATTTGTGTACCTGGTCCAGAGAGTCAGGGATACGGGCCATTTGGAGGAATTTCGAGGTGGGCACAATGGGAGGCCTAGACAACTACGAATGGTGCAAGTTGAGGAAGAACTACTGAATCGCGTAGACGAGAATCCCTCAACAAGCACTAGAGACGTGGCTAGAGAAGTGCAAGTATCAAAAACTAAAGTGTGGCAAACGTCCAACGTGTACAAGCCATTCAACCTGACGATTTTCCAGCAAGAGTGCGGTTTTATGAGTGGTTGTTGCATCAACATGACAATAATCCGGACTTTTTGAAGTGCATATTGGTGACAGACGAATCTACGTTCACGCGTAATGGGGTGAATAACTTTCGATTTCAGGCAGAGACGTACTTAGCCCTTCTCGTCAACTGGAGAGTGAGTACTTTTTCCTTTATTTTTTTTTACTTGGTCGCCCTCGTTTCACTACACATTACCTTTGTTATTTCAAGGGTAGTTGTTTCTGAAAAGGAAAACCCCAACTTTGCGGACACCCTGTATAATTGAATATTCATTTAATCAATTTGACATTGAGTATGTATTGCCTGGAAAATTCACCACTGATAATTTAGAAAAACGATTTGGCAATTATAGACTTTTATGTGGCTGCAATTACAATGTGTCATATGATGAAATTACTTAGCCAATTGTGACATAGAGGATAGTACTAAGACTTATATATCTGGATATGCTTCACACGCATCTCTAAAAACCTAAACTGCGAGATATGCAAATCGCTAATAGTTAAAGAAAAAGGTTCATTAACAACAAATGTTTATTTTGATCATTTGCAAAGAGGAGGACTGTCAATTCCAACCAGTTATGTACCAATCATATTCTACCATATGTATGCCATTTTTGAATCTATTATTAATGTAGATAGATTGGAAATTTTCTTCTTGAAAAGCAATAATCAAAAATTTATTTTGTGTCAGTTAACCTTGCTCAGCATTCAGTCTGACTTTATATACAGTGAATTTTCTTTAACTTGCATCTGTGGCCGCAATTATGCAGATATTTTATCTGAGCTTTTGTCTATTTTTTCAAACATAATTTTGAATGATTATGTAAAATTGAAAAATAACAGTAAAACTGAAAGTAAATGTATTAAAAACAAACAGGTAACTCCACATTTCCAAGCTGGGCCTGTTGGAACACAGTGTGCTGACACCAAAAAACGTAAACTAAATACTTTTAATTAGGTTAACTGCATTAGCGACTCATATATATCACGATTATTTCGATTTTTAAATTTTTTGGAGCTATTTAATATTCAGACGATTTGTATCGAATCGAACTGTCCTCTTTTCCAAAATTAAATTTAGTTCTTGAACGTTACACGGAGACGGAGCACACAGCCGCTGGCGGCCGACGTTCACAGGTAGCACTACCATGCCGTCCGAGCGCGGTGTTGCCTTTCTTTCATCACGGCTCGTAGTTGACGTCGGCTGTGATATAACATCAAAAACTGCGTCTTAGTTTCGGAGCTCTTAGAGTTTAGGTTACAGATCATTTTTGTCACAGAGATCCATAAAAAACTATATCTTGCATTAAATTTTTTGCGATTATAATACTTCGGTCATCAACTTGAAAAATAATACATAACTAGCAGTTAAAAAAAACAGACACCTCCGCAAAAAATTAAAAAAGTCCTAAAATCATCGGAAAAGCTTGTGATTGTTCTCAAATCTTTTTTACTCAGAACTCCACAACCATTGGACCGATTCTCAAAATATCGCATACATGTTGATATAATTTGTATATGATTTTTTTGTATAATGATACACGTTATAAACTTGAAAAACTGTTCAACTCACCTCTGCTGCAGTAACACTGGAACTTGAACTGCTATTATCATCTGATTTTGAAGGCAGATTCCTAGAATACTTTGGATTCCTGGCTCTGATCTCTTCTAATGATATATCTTCTGGTGGATGAATTATCTTGCTAGCAGCACCTGTTGTGGCTATGGTTGGAACCTTGGAACTATCTGAACTTGGCCCAGGAGTATTTGTTGTTGGAGGGGCACTAATTGTAGCTGTTTTGTAAATAATATTAGAGTTGAAAACAGGCATAGTGTTGCTGAAGTAGATAGATTAGCCAAATTGTCTAACATGTCAAAATCAACAAATTCAATCTAGGTAGAAGGATCCTCTCAAGGATTTGTTTGTCTCATTCTCATAGTATTTAATCACGATCAAAATACACTTGTCATAAGTCAATTTTGGCAGCTCTGTCATTAAATTCAAAGTTTTAGTGTTATTTTCAAAAAAGCGAACATTTGCAGATAATTGAGGTGTTAGACGATTTACAGACGTACTACTTCTTATATAATTTGCAAAGAGCAGCACAAGCCTAATGAAGGTAAGTAATTATTATTATGATACAACACTGTCACTTTGGTAAACATAAGTACACAAATGAAAACTAAAACTGCGCGATTTTGGCAACAAACAATGCAATGTAAACTTGCAATACTTTGCTTCTAATCTATTCGAATTAAGTTAAAATTAAAATTCCCATGCCAGGCATAGCGGATCATATCTCAAATCAGGCTCAATTTTTTTTACTGGAGAAAACTTATTGAGGCAAGAGGCTCTGTGAGATTTCGAGGCTCTACTTCGAACAGTCCAGTCAGGAGACAGGCTCAAAGTGGGAAGCTTCGGCAAAAACGTGAATTTTAACGTTTTGGCGACTCCATTTTCTCGCTACTCATGTCATTGGAAAGCATTAGGCTCCATAATATATATCATACATACAATATTTCGAAGTAGAGCTATCCAAGGAAGTAAAAAATGACCTCCAAATTACGATATGATAATTCGTTCGGCAAATATTTCAGTCAAAAGTCACTTTTTTATTTTTTTTACTGGATTATTTTGCTGACAATCTGAATGCCTTCCCAAAATGAACAATGCACAAATTATTTTTTTTGTAAAGGACATGGATCAGCATAACATTTTGTACTCAGACCTTTGAATAATATTTTTTGTATTTTGGGACAAAATTGGCAATTATCATGATACTGGAGGGTGGATCATGATACATTTGTGTTTCGGAGTGAAACTATATGCAAATAATATGGAAACATGTAAAAATTAATGAAACTGTTAAAAATTTAAATCTCTAAATTCAATTTTCTATTACTGCTACTCAAGAGAATGAAAACATGATAGATAAAATATACCTGAGGATATTGGTTTGAAATCTGCTCCTACCACAGGAGGAGTAGGTCCATTTGGTGATGATGTAGGTACAGCACTCGGAAACAGTGGTTTTGGTGGCCCAGACTGACCAGACATCATTTGTTGCATGTGAGGTGGCATCATAGGCATTCTGGAATAAGAGACAAAATGAGTGCAAAAATGAAGTGAGTATATTAATAATAAACATGGAATATTTATAATAATCTGTATTAATTTTCAATTTTTGTATATCAGTAAGTAATAGTTAGGAAAAAAGTTTCATAAAATGCATGCTTAATGATATACAGGATTAGCAGGAAATCATTCATGAACCATATTTTATAAGAGCAATATTGAGCGAAAAACCGGTATGTTAGAGCAAAAGCACGAATGAAGTATGCTCAGCAACAAGGACAGCAGGTCTATGAATTCTATTCGCGCCCTCACTCAACATTCGTGTTTTTGTCTCTTACTTGATCATAAGTTGCCTCGCAGCGAGGCATCCGGTATCGTTAATATGGGTACCGGGGCACGCTGGGATAAGGGGCAATGAGACGGCGGACACTCTGGCGGACAGGATCAGCCAGCAAGCTCGTTGGTCCTGAGCCAGCTCTAGGAGTGACCGCGCATAGAGGAATATGGAGACGTGGGTTGCAAGACAACACTCTCAGAAATGGAGAAGTATCTCCAGTCATCTCCGCCAGGCACGGGAACTCATTGAAGGGCCCAGTGCTAAGGACAGACGTTTCTGCCTATCTGTGGATGGAGCCAACTTAAGGTTGCTGCTGGGACAGTTGTCTGGCCATAACACGTTAAGGCGCCACCTGCACGTGATGGGGGTGAGGATCCCTTGTGTGAACACTGCGGGGTAGAGGAAGAGACCTCGGCGCACATTTTGTGTCGCTGTGAAGCTCTGAGCTACTATAGGCAGACCATATTGGGGTCCATTACTTTGGACCCTCAGGACGTCAAGGAGCTTGGACTTTAGGCGATTCTCAACTTCGCTAAAAGGGCGAGGCTTGTGATCTAAGGATTGTAGAGATGCATAAGGGCCCGCTTAAGCGGCCTATGCACTGGCTCCTTACGGTGGCCGGAATGCCTCTAATTTCAAGATTCATTCATTCATTCATTGATCATAAGTTGCAATGTAAAACCACAATTATTCTCTGCTAGTCTTAATGCTTATTCATTTCCTTACATTGCCACTAAATGTATGACCACATAGTTCTCTAGGCTAAATAAGGTATAAGTATACATCCATTTTTTAAACAAGAAGAACAAAAAAGATTTGGCATATGATACAGCTTAATCAAGAAAAATGCTTTGTTTTCCAAAAAAATATCTTTTCTGCAAAAAAAATGAAGATGTTTTATGGGGAAAAATTGCAGTTACTTGATAATGTCTTTTGAGACATAAACATGAAATATGGAAGTATAATACAGAGATTAATGCAGTGATCAATTTTTTTAGTTTTCAAAATACCATGTGTAAAATATTTAATCATCTATTTCTTTACAGTAACAAACATTTTTGACCTCTTCTCTATAACAATTACAAATTTCAACTTTATATTTAAAAGAGCAAATAAGTTATAATATACATTCGAATAAGTTATCATCATTATATGCAAGCTATTGAAAGTTATGACTTCTTATTAATCTTCAACGTTCAATTACATTCTTTATTTTCAACTTATAATGCACAAGGTTAAACCTGAAATGACTGTAGATGTTTAATATCATGAATACCTATATTAGATTAAAAGTCGTCAATATTTTTTATTATATAAAAAAAATAGTTATGCTAGTAATACATAATAGCTTTGTATATTTGGATAATGTTGCATCTGATAATTTAACAACTCCTGATTCTGCAATAAATTAAATGGAATATGTTAAAATGGGAGATAAATAAGTAGTAGTAATAATAGTAGTGGTGGTGATGAGATGAAACCTTGAAACTAAACCATTTATGACCCTTTTTTGTTGATCCTATTGTACCCAACACATTCTGATTGTAGCCAAAGATAGGTAATATATATACAGGGTGACTTGTAATGTCACGTATTCCTGTTAAGGGGTGATAGATTAGGTCAAAAGCAACCGATTTTGTCCTATAATGTCCTATCCAGAAGTTAACCGTTTTAGAGTTATTTGAATTTTATTTTTTTTATTTTTTATTCCGATTTCAGATGGTTAAATTTGAAATACAAAAAAACTACATGTTTGATTTTGAGTTTTTTGTTACCGTCGCATAGCGGACATTCCAATAGTTCATAATAAGTAATAAAATGTTGAAAACTTACAAAAGTTTTAAAGTTACGCTTTTGAAATGTATGATTTCCTTATTTTTTTACTAACTTATTCGATAAAAAATGCAATTTTCTGTAAAAAATCTCCTAGTAGTGAAATGTGCAAATTATGTAAATAATATCTCTATCTAACAAGCTTTCATTTGAGGTATAAAAGTTACAACTAACTCAAGTACAAAGACATAAAATTAAAAAAATATGAGTAAAGTTGTACGAACGATAATTACGTAGGATAAATAAAAGGCTTTTATTTTAATTACAGTTTTATTTAATTACATATCCTTTAGTATTTCACAGATTCTGCTCTAATTGTAATCCCCTCTTACGAATACACATCCGCATTCTCTTACGTAATTCACTTTTGGTAACTCTAGTTGTTAAGCGGCTTTTTATTTGGTCAGCTGCACTGATTATCCTTGTAATTAATTCATCGCGGGTTGGTACGGGCGAAACATCGTACAACAGGCTTTTCATATGTCCCCACACATAGTAATCCATCAGTGTGAGATCTGGGCTTCTTGCTGGCCAGGCAATGGGCCCGCCTCTGCCAATCCATTGATTTGGAAATTTAGAGTCTAAATACGCCCGTACTAATCTACTGTAGTGTGCGGGATAGCCGTCGTGCTGGAACCGCATATTTTGTCTCGTCGCCAATGGGACGTCTTCCATTAATGGAAACAAGTGATTTTTCAAGAACTCTTCATACACTTCTCCATTTAAATTGGCGGGCAGAAAATGAGGTCAAATTAAATATCCATCAATGATGCCCATCCACACATTGACTGAAAACCGGCTCCGAGACTCAGTCGGTCTTATTTTTCGGGGGTTTAAAGCTTCTTTATCAGCCCAGTAATGAGCATTATGGTAGTTAGTGATCCCGTCCTTATCAAACTTCGATTCATCGGTTCACAGAATTTTCTTAAAATAGTCTGGATCTTCTGTATCTGCATGTAACATGTACCTGCAGAAATCTAATCGTCTTGCAGGATCGCTCTCTTCAATCACATGCACAGGCGTGTAGTGATAAGGGTATAATCTTGCAGTATGCACAGTAAACCATACTTTGTATTGTGATATACCCAACTGAGCAGCCACAATGCGCGTAGACGTAGTAGGGTCTTCCTGAAACACACGAAGGATTTCCTCTTCATCTTCAGGAGGATAGACTCGGGGTCGACCGGCATCACTATTTTGCCTTTGAACACGTCCGGTTTGGCGGATGCGCCGATACACAGAGTCAAACACAGTAACATGAGGTGTTCGGCGATTCGGGAAACGTTGCCGATATTCACGGTGGGCAGCTGCAGAATCGCCGTTACAAAGTCCATAACAGAACATTATGTCTGCGTATTCTTCATTTGTAAAAGTTTGCCCGTGCTCGCTATGGCGAGGTCCTGGCGGATCTTCTGCGTCTGCCATGATGATAAAGAAACCACTCGAAATGAACTGGGAAACTCGAAAATAATAATCGTGCGTAAAACGTGTGCGCGTACGCAGTAGCTGATACCAACTAAACCTAATTCTCACTCAGCGTGCGACGATAGCGTAACTACAATGATGAATAATAACAGCTCTCTCTCTCTCACTCCTCCACTAAGGCCCGTATCGTCAGTCGTCCCTACAATTGTAGGGCGCCTTTATGGCCTCCTTGATTGTCATAGTTTTCTATTTTTCCATGTCAGTGCTCTATTTTGAGGTTATGACATAAACATCTATTTGCATCAAATTGTGATTGCTTTTGGGTTATATCATGTTTTATCAGCCTGAAATTTCCTACAATTTAAAAGGAAAACATATCTTCACAATAGGAGAGCACTGACGCTGACATGGGACAAGTGTAATCTAGAAATTTTTGAATTAGAGAAAGGAGTATGACAATCAAGGAGGCCATAAACGCGCCCTACAATTGTAGGGACGACTGACGATATGGGCCTAAGTCAGCTCTTCTCGCTCGCTTCCTCGTCGAGCCGATGCCATAAAACAATCATGGCATGCGAGTCCTTTGAGGACAGTAACGACTTGTTCAAACAGGTAAAACAAATTCCTTAAAAATCCAGCCTCTGTGGGTGTCATTGTTGTTTCTCTGCATGTACTTCAGATAATTGAACGCTTAATACCTCAAATGAAAGCTTGTTAGATAGAGATATTATTTACATAATTTGCACATTTCATTACTAGGAGATTTTTTACAGAAAATTGCATTTTTTATCGAATAAGTTAGTAAAAAAAAAGAAAATGATACATTTAAAAAGCGTAATTTTAAAACGTTTGTAGCTTTTCAACATTTTATTACTTATTATGAACTATTGGAATGTCTGCTATGCGACGATAACAAAAAACTCAAAATCAAGCATGCAGTTTTTTTGTATTTCAATTTTCACCATCTGAAATCGGAATAAAAAACTTAAAATTCAAATAACTCAAAAATGGTTAACTTTTGGATAAGACATGATAGGACAAAATCAGTTGCTTTTGACCTAATCTATCACCCTTTAACAGGAATATGTGACATTACAAGTCACCCTGTATATACAGGGTGACTTTGAAGTTGAGTCATTAATTTTCAGATAATGATTGTAGAAGGAAGATAAACCAAAATATGTGTGTAAAAATAAAAAAAAAATGTTTACCTTGTTTTATAAAGTATCATCCCGACAAGTATTTCAGTGCGGACCTGTATTTGATCGTGAGGTCCCCTGTGAGGTCTTAAGTCACCTGATTCACGAGCCCGTTGTACTACATTAACAAAGGCACAAGGGGTTGGTTGCACTCGATTGGGAAACCGATCCGCATAAACATGTGCCATTTTTTATTTCGTTTGAGCCACGCAACAGACATTATTCACACGCGACTGACACTGACTGTATGTATAACTGAACTGAATAAAATAATTGTAAAAACATCGTTCCAAATTCTTTCGCTTTTTTGTTTCCGATGCGATGAACCGATAAGGCGGATTATATCCGTTGTTGGCAAACACGAGCACATGATATTATTGAGACAGGGCGGTACTCAAACTTCCAAAGGGCTATAACTTTGTTACTTTAATTTTACCAGAAAAATGGTAAAGGAAAAAAACATTTCTTTTGATCAGATCTACTCACTGTTAAAATAAATGACTCAACTTCGAAGTCGCCCTGTATATATAGAACTTCAAACATCACCTAAATAAAACACAAAAATAAAGATTGCTGACATAGCAGATGATTTGATAACATGAATAAATCGCCTGGCAGTTATCAAGTACCACATACCTTTTCTAACACTAGTATTTTAGGAGGGAGGGATTGTATAGATATGACTATGATTGGTCAAATATGGAATTTGAGGTTAGAACAAATTTTAATTTTAAGCATACCTTTTCTTTTAGTTACTAAACTAAATCATGTATTTCATATAGGGCACAGGTTAAATAAATGTTGGATGATATACAGGTTAAGAGAATAACTTGTTTTGATAAGGTTATAAAAGGTACTCCCCCACCAATACTTTATACATAAATTTATGAAAACAGATTTACACAATGTACTTTAAAAACATAAGAAAAAGGTAAGCTTGTAATTCAAATTTTTTCTAACAAACTGCTTATTTAGTCAATCTGCATCATCAGTCATGTCTACATTAGGCCCCTTAAACAAAATATATTTCCTATGATGAAAGAAAAGCATCTTTTTATTAAATACAAAAATGTAAAAACATAGAGATCAAATAATAATATTGATAACCATGCATTATACATTTGAGGGCATATTTCGATAATTACTTACCCAGGATGCATAAAGTGTGGTCCCATGGGGCCCATCTGCATCATGGGACCCATGGACATACCAGGAGGCATTCCAGGTGGAGGCATCATGCCAGGCACCATACCAGGTACACCTGGCATTGCCCCAGGTGCATTCCCCAGGAGTCCTTCTGGTTTTGGCCTCTTGGTTGCTGGTTCATCCTCATCAGATCCTGAATCATTTGCTGGTCGGCTTCCCTGCTTCTGTCGTTCATGTTCCCTGAGATCATTGGGAGGGATGCCTGGTACAAATGCAAAAAACATTCTTGAATTTCTGTTGCAAGAGCTACTGTTCAGGCATATACTGGTAGGTGAAATACGCAGAAAGCTTATTTTTAGGTGATTTATAAATAGAACTCACCTTCCATGCCATATATTTCAATATCAATGTTTGAACGGTTGGGTAACGAATTAGGCACCTTATCTATAGTTTCCTTATGGACCTGCATACAGTGTATACTGAGTCCTGGCCCTGTATAGAGTTTCTTATGACAAATATGGCATTTGAAATGCTTTGCTTTCTGATGTTGGATCAGAATTTTCTCATCCTCAAATTCTCGGTTACAATACCTAAACTAGGTTAAAGAAAATATAGTGACTAAAATTAGATTAGCTAAAAATAATAACAGCGTAAAATGATTCAAAACGAGAGAGATTTTATCATGAAAAGGATACCAGCACCAAGGTTTCGACAACTTCTTCTTCTTGCGACCCATTTTTAAATCAGACCAGAAAGGTTACACAGATAAGTATAAATGCAATAATATGGGCTTAAATGGAGTTTCTTTTAATCAATTTCCAACAGTGCCACACCACTTATCACTATCCTTCCAAAATGGCTGACTTTTTATTGATGTAAAACGCAGAACACAAACTTCAGAATGAATTTGTGAACCAAGCTGTGAACAAAATAGTGAATAGTGATGGGCATTTCCTACGTTCCGACCCAAAAATCGGAAAAGGTATTCGCTCAAAACAGTTATGCATTTTATACCCAACAGAGGCGTACCTGTGCCGTAGTATTCTGATTTCACAGCTAAAAAAGTATTGCCTGTACTTGGACGCAGCAGTGGCGTAGAAAGAGGGGACGACGGGGGCGGGCCGCACCGGGTGTTACCTTTTTTGGGGTGGGTGACACCCACCCGGTGACTCAACTTTAAGAACAATGTACAAACATAAAAAAATGTAAATCGCTGGCACAGCTGTCTTCTTCAGTGATTCCTCCACAAGCACTAGCTCAGCTCTATGTATAATTCGGGGATTCCCCCAAAATCAGAAGACTACGATATTTCAACAGAAAGACGACTTCGTCGTAAAAAACGGGTGGTTGATGAGACGGCCAGTGAAGCAGGACTCACGCTGAAAGAAGAACTCCAAAAAGATATGTTGGAATGAAAACAAGATCGAAGTATCTTCAAGACCTAGCTTCATTGTTCGAGATCGTACAAACAAATACTTTGCTTTTGGGAAGAACTGAAATTAGGATACATCCAAATTTACCGATTTTTACGATGAGGTCTCAGTAACAGAATTACTTTTGGAGATAACAAGACTGCGAATACACTTAAAAGCAACTAATGTTACAGTTTCTGATTGGGTATCTCTAGATTTTTAAAATTTATTGTAGAATGGGATTTTACAGAATCTCTTCTAAATCTTACGATTGCACTAAAATTGATCATGCCGGTTTGTGTGTCCGTAGCTTCATGTGAAAGGTGTTTCAGTAAACTAAAATTAATAAAAAACTATTTGCGGGCAATCTTGGTATATTAGCCATCGAACACGAGGCAATACAAAATACTCTTATTAATTTTGTTGATGTCATTGCTCAGTTTGCATCTGTCAAACCTAGAAAGAATATATTTTAATTGTAAGATAATAATATTTTTTCTGTCTTAGTTTTTATTGGGTTTTGTTATTTGTTCCATATTTTAAATATAAATATTATGACGAATCATACTGTCGACGCCATCTGTTGGGCGAGTCTCCTACTCGCTAGAGCTTCATGGCCGATCTCTGCTTTTATGCGAATCACGACCGCACCATCCAGCTGGCGGCGGATCGCCATCTAGATCGACGCGAAGCAACCTCGACTATTCGGGAAGGTCGCTATGTGACCCCGGCACGGGTATCATGTAAAAAACCTACAAAACGTCAAAAAATCTATAAGATGTCAACTTGCAGACTAGGTAGTTTTTAGGCCGCAAACAGTCATTCCACGTTTGCTCACTAGGATCGTTGTGAACGTCCATCTATGGAGGAATCACTCAACTAAACTACGCATTATTGGTTGCATAGCTTTGTGAGGCCAAATGGTCCTTGTCTGTAGCTTTTATCCAGAGATAAACCCTTCTTTTTTTATCTCTGAGAAGAAAGTTGGTTGAATAGCAAGATCACATCTGGATGATTATGTGTATTGGTCTGCATGTGTATAAAATCAGTGATATTTGCTGTGTGAGAAAAGCATTACTGAATATGCCGAATATGACGGGTTATTTATATGTTGTGCTTTCTGAAGAGAGGTATGTTCAAAGTTATAAATTACGACAAAACTCAGGAGAAGTGCGGGAAATTATCACCGCGCCCGCGTTGGGTGAAATTACTGTTATCATGTTTATGGATTGTAATTCGACAGTGTACAGTGAATATAATTATTTCTTATCTCTCTCATTTTTGAAATTCAACAAATTTGTATATGTAATTTCCAGAATGGATAAGAAAAAGTGGATGCGCAACTAATTTCTAGGTTTGAAGCTCAATTAAGTGTATTTGTGGCAAGAACCCAATGTAATTATCATCAATACATACAACTTACAGCTTAGACCTCCAGTAATGCCATCTCAGAAGCAGATTTTACATCACATCAAAGCGAAAGATTGATAACAAGCCTCATGACGTTTAATAACCTACATAATGTCAAAAAAACAGCATAATGTCAAAAAAAATCGGCATAATGTCCCTTTTCAAGTTACATGATACCCCTGCTAATTCTTCTAGACTCAAGGATGCGGACTATATAACTCGGCGGCCGGGAGGTGGAAGGCAGAGTACGGAATACGGTGGAGGGTGGAGTAGCAGGGCGAAGAGAAGTATAGTGCAGTCAATGTTGACATAAGTAGTCAGACATAAATAGTTGTGCATATAAATGTTTTATCCAGTTAAATAAGTGCATTTCTTTTTGTGGAATCCCGTGTTTTAATCCACACCCAAAAAGAACCCAGAAAAACGCTACAATATTAAATGATTCATGACGTTTATAAATCATATAAAATGTATTGCTTTTGACTTTCGATGGGATGACACCACCAATTTCTGCACCGGGTGCCACCCAAGGTAGCTACGCCACTGGGACGTTAGCGATTATTTGATGAGTTTTGCCTGATCTCCAAATCAATAGACACTAATCAAATTCAAGGGGATAACCAAATGAAAATGGTATTTACCATTTTTGGGTTGGTATTTACCGTTCCGTTCAAGCGAGTGTGGTTATCAGTTTGGTTATAAGATCAGGAATTTTTCTCGGATGTGCTGATCATCTAGAGATAACTGTTACCACAGTCCCCCTGAGACAAGCGCGCGTACCCTAGCATTACGCGGACTATCTCGGCAAACATCAACGGGAAAAATTGCCACCAATCAGTTCTTACGTTCTATGTATTGAAATGACGCCCATATTTTTATTTACCCATGTGCATTAGATGAAATGAATGCGACGTCTCCCGTTTTTATGACTTTTGAAACTTAAAAATCAAAAGATCGTTTTCAGTTATTTTAGATATACATTTCACCGGTTTCAATTCAATAACGGATTCCGAATCAAGTTGCACTGGAAGAGAGAACCACAACAGCAAGCTTATAGGAAAGAGTGGGAAACAAAAGAGCCTTTCCCCCCCCCCCCGAGACGGAAATTTTCCTTCATCATGAATCCTGAGAGAACCTAAGGCACGGTACGATAATTTTGACGCGTTTGTACGATAATTCCCTGCGACGAATCTGGCAACGCTGCTCGGGGTGCTGAAATCCGTTCAGTAAGCCCCAATGCAACAGATGAGGACAACGTTTTGTTTTTCAACATAGTCAAAACAATACGTAATATTAGATATAATGAACTATTTCAACAAAATAATATTTTTATCAAAAAATGGGGGATTTTTAATGAATGAATGCTTATTCGCCATCACAATAATAATAATTTTACAATATTTAATGTTATTAAAGCTGTACCTTGTACCAGCTACTCATTCTAATTACATAATATTAATTTCTAAATTATTTTAAACATTTTTTGATGAGACAATTTTTGGAAAATCTCAAAATTTTTAAACTTTTGGGTTTTTTTATATTCGGCATATCTTCGTCTGCTTTTTGGTATTTGATATAGTATGTGAGCGTATTTTTCGGGAATTTTGGATATTTACAAAAAATAAGTATATATGTATGTATGTATGTATGCAAAGTGCTATTTATGCATATAACATGTTTTTTTTATTGTCACGTGTTGTCGAAAGCGTTAATCAGCGTAATTGATTAAAAGATTATTTACCATATTGTTTTATTCTGAAAGGAGATGTGTCAATGTATAATTGACCAATATTTTCGGTGAACTGAAGCTGTAGCACCTTTCCGTTAAAAAACGTTTCAGCTTTCTTATATATGATTTGACTTAGAGGTGTTAGTTTGACAATATACCATACTTAGACAAATCCAAGAGTAAAAAACTATTCGTTGGATTGAGTAGAATTAGCGATGTTGTCAGCCTCAGCATGGACACCATATTAATGAAGCGTTTCTAGCAGAAAAATGTACTTCAAAAAAAATATCGCAAGTCGTACAAGCCAAAGGCAACGGCCCCTATTGTTATTGTTTAAAATAACAAAAAGACCTGAAACGTCATTATAATGTTTAAGAACCTTCTAGACACATTTAAATTAACTTTGAATATAAAAAAACTCATTACATTGCCTTCTCCATAACAATGGCTAATAGACCAGCATTTAATCAAATTACGCCTGATAATATAGATGAGCCTTTGAAAGAAGTAAATGAAATTAAATATTTGGGAGTTGTTATTGATCAGCACTTGAAGTGGGACCAGCATGTGCTGTACTTGAGAAAAGTAATAGATTTTTCATCCATAAATTCTACACTCTTTGTAATATACTGAACCTTAAACTAATATTGATGATTTACAAAGCACTTGTGGTGCCCCTTTTGGTATATGGCATATTTGTGTGGAGTGGATTGTACGGTTCAAATCTTGGGCAGCTAAAAGTGGTGCAGAACCATATTGTAAGGATTATTCTAAAAAAAACCTAGATTATATCCCACTATGCAAGAAATTAACAATTAAATTCTTATAAATATATCCTTGCAGTATATGTAGTCTTTTTTGTGCATGCAAATATGAAATTAAATACAAATTATGTGTCCCATAATTATATCTTGCACCTAAATTTTACAATTTGATTCCTTCTAATATCAGGAATATTGAAAATAATAAAAAGTTTATTGTTTCGTTTAAAATGATCTGTTGGGAAAATCGTGAACAATTTATGCGTTTATTTTAAGTTGCTTTGAGGTAGGATGATCTGTCTATTTGTTTCTTTTCTTTTTTTGTGATAAACTTGTGATACGTTTTTTCTGATGTTCTAATGTTTACGTAAATGCCCAAAATAGACTGGGTGGTGGAAAAGCGCCTGATTAAATTCCAACCAATGACGACGCAGAACGAATAGCGGTACCGGCGTACTACACGCTGCGTGCTAACAAGCGTCGGTTCAGTCTTCAGTTGTCGGTTGGCGTTTGGGGAGCGTGGTGCGCCGAGCCCTCCATACAACGCTCTGCTTCTGTTCCATTCGTCGTGTGCCGGGAAGTCTTTGTCGGCGATTTTCCGCAATGT